AGCAGCCAGGCTTTGAAGCTGCAAGGCTATTCAATGCTAATCGAAGTGATCAATTGCAACATTGAGACGAAGATTCCTGCTTACACCTCCTAACAAAGGATTCCACCAGGCAGGAAGCAGACAAGCTTTGAAGTTGCAAGGCTATTCAAAGACCACCATGAAAGACCCCAGACAGATGACCATCAAGCCTCAAAGCCTGGCTGCTTCCTGCTAACACCTCCCAAGAAAGGATTCCCCCAGGCAGGAAGCAGACAAGCTTTGAAGCTGCAAGGCTATTCAAAGACCACCATCAAAGACCCCCGACAGATGAATATCCAGCCTCAAAACCTGGCTGCTTCCTGCTAATACCTCCCAACAAAGGATTCCCCCAGGCAGGAAGCAGCCAGGCTTTGAAGCTGCAAGGCTATTCAATGCTAATCGAGGCGATCAATTGCAACATTGAGACGAAGAGTTCTTTCTCCCACCCTGGACATCATTCCACAGATATATAGTTTCCAACAAACCTCACAACCTCTGAGGATGCCTGCCATAGATGTGGGAGAAACGTCAGGAGAGAATGCTTCTGGAATATGGTCAGACAGCCTGGAAAACTCACAGCCACGACTGCATTGGAGACAATTGAGTCCTGACGGGATCCTTGGCTTCCTAAGTTTAAGGGTGAGCCAAAAGGAATGGGTAGAGCCATGATCGTGTGCCCATGCGTCGTAGATCCATGACCGTGTGCCCATGTGTCGCTACCAGATATGTATGTATGAGTGTGCTCTCAGGCTATATGTTTTCTCCCTTCCTTTCCGCAGGCCCAAGGATCAACCCAAAGCTTTTTTTCCATCCAAGAGGCTCCTCTTTGTGACCTTTATTGTGCCCTTTCGTTGCGCCAAACATGCGCAGAGTGCAAACTGCATCCGGGGATATACAGGCAGCACACTGTGCACCACCATCATCCCCTTGCCTTGTCTCTCATTCAATACAATTGCATATCTATTCCCAGATTTATACTCCCCCCGATCCGGATCCCATCATCCACATCATGCAAACAGAGCTCTGCTGCTTCTATCCAAACAATAATAATGCTCTATTATTATTGGAGAGGCTGGTAAGAAATAAAATAATAATAATAATTATTATTATTATTATTAATATATTGTATTTTCTTGAACCAATGCTTGAGTTCTCATTATATTATCTTCTTGAACCAAATATGCGTGTCTATAACATTTTTGCAATTTTGACTTGAGGGGAGGCGGGTAAGAAATAAAATTATTATTATTATTATTATTAATAATAATAATAATAATATATTATTATTGTATTTTCTTGAACCAATTCTTGAGTTATCATTATATTATTATATCTTTTTGAACCAAATATGCGTGTCTATAACATTTTTGCAATTCTGACTGTGCATTTTGACTCGAGGGGAGGAGGGTAAGAAATATTATTATTATTAACTATATTATTATTATTATTAATGTATTATTATTGTATTTTCCTGAGTTCTCATTATATTATTATATCTTCTTGAACCAAATCATGTCTATAACACTTTTGCAATTCTGACTGTGCATTTTGACTCAATTTGTGAGTATTATATTATTACATCATCATAATCATATATTATCCCTGTATCCAAAAATATTATATCTATGTGTTGTTGAAGGCTTTCATGGCCATAATCACTGGGTTGCTGAGTTTTCCGGGCTGTCTGGCCATGTTCCAGAAGCACTCTCTCCTGACGTTTCGCCCACATCTATGGTGGGCATCCTCAGAGGTTGTGAGATCTGTTCAAAACTAGGCAAGTGAGGTTTATATATCTATGGAATAATGTCCAGAGTGGGAGAATGAAACCTTGTCTGTTAGAGGCAAATGTGAATGTTGCCATTGGCCACCTTGATTAGCATCCAATGGCCTTGCAGCTTCAAAGCCTGGCTGCTTCCTGCCTGAGGGAATCCTTTGTTGGGAAGTGTTCACTGTCCCTGATTATAATTATAAATTAGGTATTATATTATTATAATATATTATAGTATTATTATTATATCTGCTTGAACCAATTCTTGACCATTATATTATTATATTACATTATTATTATTATATCTTTTTGAACCAATTCTTCAGCATTATATTATTATATTATATTACATTATTATTATTATTATATCTTTTTGAACCACTTCTTCAGCATTATATTATTATTATATTATGTTGTAGTACTATTATTATTATTATTATATCTGCTTGAACCAATTCTTCAGCATTATATTATTATTATTATTGTTATTATATCTGCTTGAACCAATTCTTCAGCATTATATTATTATATTATATTACATTATTATTATTATTATATCTTTTTGAACCAATTCTTCAGCATTATATTATTATTATATTATGTTGTAGTACTATTATTATTATTATTATATCTGCTTGAACCAATTCTTCAGCATTATATTATTATATTATATTATATTACATTATTATTATTATTATTATTATTATTATTATTATTATTATTATTATTATATCTTTTTGAACCAATTCTTGGGAATTATATTATAGTACTATTATTATTGTTATATCTGCTTGAACCAATTCTTTGGCATTATATTAGTATATTATTATTATTATTATATCTTTTTGAACCAATTCTTGAGCCTTATATTATTATATTCTTATAGTATTATTATTTCAAACACAAGATGAGTCCACAGCAAACAAGATCACTCTACTGGCTGTTGAATTGGATCACACGTCGGACATTTCCCAAGCGTCTAGGACTGTGTGATGTATCGGCGAATAATGTGTGCAGATCCCAGTAAAGTGGCCTTTTGCAGCTGGAAGATGGTAATTTTGTCAGCGCCGATTGTGTTTAAGTGCAGGCCAAGGTCATGAGGCACTGCGCCCAGTGTGCCGATTATTATTATTATTATTATTATTATTATTATTATTATTATTATTAGAAGTAGTATATCTTCTTTAACCAATTCTTGAGCATTATATTATTATTATAGTTTTATTATTGTTATATATTATGCCTGTACCCAAAAGTAGTAATATGATAATAATACTCAAGAATTGGTTGAAACAATAATACTACTCAAGAAGCAATCAAGAATTGGTTCAAGAGGATAATATAATATTATAATATTCAAGAATCATACAAGAATTGGTTCAAAAAGATATAATAATAATGTTATAATAATACTCAAAAATTGGTTGAAACAATAGAGTAATAAGAAAAAGCAATCCAGAAAATAATATAATAATATTATATTATTATATATTATATGTTCAAGGATATAATACAATACTCAAAAATTGGTTGAAGAAGATATAATAATAATAATAATACTATAATATATTATAATAATATCATACCCAAGAATTGGTTGAAGAAGATATAATAATAATAATAATAATAATAATAATAATAATAATGCTGAAGAATTGGTTCAAGGAGATATAATAATAATAGTACTATAATGGTTCAAGAAGACAATAATAATAATAATAATAATAATAATATAAATATATTAATAATATAATGCTGGAGAATTGGTTCAAGCAGATATAATAATAATAATAAACTATAATATAATACAATATAATAATATAATGGTAGAAAATTGGTTTAAGCACATATAATAATAATAATAGTACTATACTATAATATAGTATAATAATATAATGCTGGAGAATTGGTTCAAGCAGATATAATAATAATAATAATAGTACTATACTATAATATAATACAATATAATAATATAATGCTGGAGAATTGGTTCAAGCAGATATAATAATAATAGTACCATAATATAATAATAATAATAATACTATAATATAATAATAATGCTCAAGAATTGGTTCAAGCAGATATAATAATAATAATAATAATAATAGTACTATAATATAATATAATAATAATAATATAATGCCGGAGAATTGGTTCAAGCAGATATAATAATAATAATAATAATAATAATAATAATAATAACAATAATAATAATATAATGCTGGAGAATTGCTTTGAGAAGATATAATAATAATAATAATAATAGTACTAATAATATAATAATAATATAACGCTGGAGAATTGGTTCAAGCAGATATAATAATAATAATAATAATAATAATAATAACAACAACAACAATAATAATAATAATAATAACAATAACAATAATAATAATATAATGCTGGAGAATTGGTTTGAGAAGATATAATAATAATAATAATAATAATAATAATAGTACTAATAATATAATAATAATATAACGCTGGAGAATTGGTTCAAGCAGATATAATAATAATAATAATAATAATAATAATAACAACAACAATAATAATATAATGCTGGAGAATTGGTTTGAGAAGATATAATAATAATAATAATAGTACTAATAATATAATAATAATATAACGCTGGAGAATTGGTTCAAGCAGATATAATAATAATAATAACAATAACAATAATAATAATATAATGCTGGAGAATTGGTTTGAGAAGATATAATAATAATAATAATAATAATAATAATAATAATAATAATATAATAATAATATAATTCCCAAGAATTGGTTCCAGAAGATATAATGATTATAACAATCAGGGCCAGCTAATAATCACCTTCCCAACCAAGGATTTTTTTCCCTCCCCCCAGTCAGGAAGCAGCCAGGCTTTGAAGCTGCGAGGCCATTGGATGCTAATGAAGATATTCCCCCTCCCCCCAAGGCAGGAAGCAGCCAGTCTTTGAAGCTGCGAGGGCATTGGATGCTAATGAAGTTGTCCAATGGCAACCTGGCCAAAAAGTATGGCTCCTACTTTCCTTTCCTTCCTTCCTGCCTTGCTCCTTTTGCTCTCTCTGTTGTGTAGGATGAGGGATCCCTGGAAGGGAGGGAAGAAGGAAGGGAAGGAAGGAAGGAAGGGAAGGGAGGCAGCCCTCCCTCTCCCTCTCTCTCTCTCTCTCTGTGCGCAGCCCCCGCCCCACCCGCGCTCAATCTCACTGACCTTGGCGGCAAGGCAAGGGCTCCGCGCCGCAGAGGAGCCTCTGCCCGGCTGGGGCTGGCCAAGGGCGGGCGGCTCAGGGGCCCCTGTAGGAGCCGGGCGGCGTGGGGCCCATGGGCTGGGGCCGAGCGGGGCGCCTTCCTCCTCCGCCTTCGCCTCCTCCTCCTCCTCTCCGCTCCGGCTGTAGGACACAAAAGGACATCGCAACCCACTTCCTACTCCGCTTCCTCCAGCTGGCGGGGAAGGGGCGGGGCCTCGCTAGGACACGCCCCCTGCTCTGCATAAGCACCGCCCCCCGACGCTCTATTCTCTTCCCTCCCTCCCAACTAGGACACGCCCCCTGCTCTGCATAAGCACCGCCCCCCGACGCTATTCTCTTCCCTCCCTCCCAACTAGGACACGCCCCCTGCTCTGCATAAGCACCGCCCCCCCCGACGCTCTATTCTCTTCCCTCCCTCCCAACTAGGACACGCCCCCTGCTCTGCATAYGCACCGCCCCCCCCGACGCTCTATTCTCTTCCCTCCCTCCCAACTAGGACACGCCCCCTGCTCTGCATAAGCCCCGCCCACGGCGCTCTCTTTGCCTCCCTCCCTCCCTCCCAAGGCTAGCTGGCTTTGCATAGGCACCACCAAAGCCCTCCCAACAGATGGCCATCCAGCCATAGGCTCTTACATCTTACATCAGGCTGATATATGCGGTATACAAATAGAGTAAATAAATAAATAAATAAATAAATAAATAAATTTTATCTGCTTGAACTAATTCTTAGGCATTATATTATTATATTATATTGTATTATAGGATAGTTCTAATATTATTATTATATCCACTTCAACCAATTCTTCAGCATTATATTATTATTATAATATAGTACCCTTATTATTATATTATTATTATTATTATTATTATGTCTTCTTGAACTAATTCTGCAGCATTATATTATATTATTATTATTATTATTATTATTATTATTATTATTATATCTGCTTGAACCAATTCTTCAGCATTATATTATTATATTATAGTATTATTATTATTATATCTGCTTGAACTAATTCTTGGGCATTATATTATTATTATAGTATAGTACTAATATTATTATGATATCTGCTTGAACCAATTCTTCAGCATTATATTATTATATTATAGTATTATTATTATATCCACTTGAGCCAATTTTTGGGCATTATATGATTATTATATGATATTATAGTACTATTATTATTCTTATTATATCTGCTTCAACCAATTCTTCAGCATTATATTATTATTATTATACATTATAGTATTATTATTATTATTATTATATCCACTTGAACCAATTCTTGGGCATTATATTATTATATTTATTATAGTATTATTATTAGTATGTCTTCTTGAACCAATTCTTCAGCATTATATTATTATTATATTTATTATAGTATTATTATTATTATTATTATATCTGCTTGAACCAGTTCTTGGGCATTATATTATTATTATATTATATTATAGTACTATTATTATTATTATTATATCTGCTTGAACCAATTCTTGGGTATTATATTATTGATATATTACATTATCGTTCTTTTATTATTATTATATCTGCTTGAACCAATTCTTCAGCATTATATTATTATTATATTATAGTACTATTATTATTATTATATCCACTTGAACCAATTCTTCAGCATTATATTATAATATTATATTATAGTACTATTAATGCCACATCAAAGCCCTCTCAACAGCCATAGAATCTTACATCCTTAATTTAGTCCAATTATCTTTTGTGTTTATGTAGTAACACCCCACCAAAGCTGTCCCGACAGATGGCTACCCAGCCTCCGACCCATAGAATGCTAGACCCCCAAGGGCCATTTAGTCCAATCCCCTTGTATTGGGTAGTAAGGTACCACCAAAACCGCCCCAAGAGATGGCCACCCAGCTATAGAATCTTAGATCCTCAATTTAGTCCAACTACCCTTTGTACTTATGTTCTAACACCCCATGAAAGCCCTCCCAACAGATGGCCATCCAGCCATAAAATCTTACATCCTCAATTTAGTCCAATCACCTTTTTGTTTATGGAGTAACACCCCATCAAAGCCGTCCTGACAGATGGCCATCCAGCCATAGAATCCTAGATCCTCAATTCAGTACAATCCCCTTTGTGTTTATGTAGTAGCGCCCCACCAAAGCCCTCCCAACAGATGGCCATCCAGCCATAAAATCTTACATCCTCAATTTAGTCCAATCACCTTTTTGTTTATGGAGTAACACCCCATCAAAGCCATCCCGACAGATGGCCACCCAGCCATAGAATCTTAGATCCTCAATTTAGTCCAATCCCCTTTGTGTTTATGTAGTAGCACCCCACCAAAGCTGTCCTGACAGATGGCCACCCAGCCATAGAATCTTACATCCTCAATTTAGTCCAATTACCCTTTATGTAGTAATACCACACCAAAGCCCTCTCGACAGATGGCCATCCAGCTATAGAATCTGATATCCTCAATTTAGTCCACTTACCCTTTGTATTTATGTAGTAACACCCCACCAAAGCCCTCCCGACAGATGGCCACTCAGCCATAGAACCTTACACCCTCAATTTAGTCCAATCCCCTTTGAGTTTATGTAGTAACACCCCACCAAAGCCCTCCCAACAGATGGCCACCCAGCCATAGAATCTTACATCCTCAATTTAGTCCAATTACCCTTTGTGTTTATGTAGTAACACCCCACCAAAGCCGTCCTGACAGATGGCCACCCAGCCTCTGAACCATAGAATCCTAGGCCCCCAAGGGCCATTTAGTCCAATCCCCTTGTATTGGGTAGTAAGGCACCACCAAAGCCATCCTGACAGATGGCCATCCAGCGATAGAATCTTACATCCTCAATTTAGTACAATTATCCTTTGTGTTTATGTAGTAAGACCCCACCAAAGCCATCCCGACAGATGGCCATCCAGCCATAGAAGCTTACATCCTGTTAAATTGCAATTCAGGCTTGTAATCTGAAAGTCGCACCAGAAAAGAAAACGATTCAAGACCAAGAGTAGACAACCTTCCAAGGACCGCCTTTCCTTCCCATTCACGCATTGCTGCGTGGGCCAGTTTGCTCCAGTTGGTGCTGGTTCTGTCACCCTGACGGATGGGACCCATGTGCCAAACCTGCCGTGCAACAAACGGCAATTGCCCCAAAGCACTTTGAACCAAACGTATCATAACAGGACTCCCATGACCAACAGAAAGCACAAGAAGGGTTTGGTGAGCATTGACCTTGAGTTTGGGAGTTGTAGTTCACCTACATCCAGAGAGCACTGTGGACGTAAACAGTGATGGATCTGGACCAAATTTGGGACAAATACTCAATATGCCCAAATGTGAACAGTGGTGAAGTTTGGGGAAAAGAGACCTTGACATTTAGGAATTGTAGTTGCTGGGATGTATAGTTCGCCTACAATCAAAGAGCATTCTGAACCCCACCAACAATGGAATTGAACCAAACATAGCATAACAGGACTCCCATGACCAACAGAAAGCACAAGAAGGGTTTGGTGAGCATTGACCTTGAGTTTGGGAGTTGTAGTTCACCTACATCCAGAGAGCACTGTGGACGCAAACAGTGATGGATCTGGACCAAGTTTGGGACAAATACTCAATATGCCCAAATGTGAACAGTGGTGGAGTTTGGGGAAAAGAGACCTTGACATTTAGGAGTTGTAGTTACTGGGATGTATAGTTCGCCTACAATCCAAGAGCATTCTGAACCCCACCAACAATGGAATTGGGCCAAACTTCCCACACAGAACCCCATGAACAATGTGTTTTCTGATGGTCTTTGGCGACCCCTCTGACACCCCCTCGCAACCCTCCTAGGGGTCCCGACCCCCAGGTTGAGAAACGCTGCTCTACACAATGCATTGATGTTTCATAAACACCTTATTTGTTTATGTAGATAATTTTTTACCCCGCTTTTCAGCCACACAGGCACTCAGAGAGGATTATGGGTAAAGGTAAAGGTTTTCCCCTGACATTAAGTCCAGTCATGTCCGACTCTGGGGGTTGGTGCTCATCTCCATTTCTAAGCCAAAGAGCCGGTGTTGTTCATAGACACCTCCAAGGTCATGTGGCTGGCATGACTGCATGGAGCACCGTTACCTTCCCGCCAGAGCAGTACCTATTGATCTACTCACATTTGCATGTTTTCAAACTGCTAGGTTGGCAGAAGCTGGGGCTAACAGCGGGAGCTCACCCAGAATTCGAACCAGCGACTTTTATTATCTTTATTTATATCCTGCTTTTCTTCCAAATGGGACTCAATATCATTATATATTATCTTATAATATTATATAATACAGTATACTATGTTGTTATTAACACGATGAGTCCACAGCAAACAAGACCACTTTGCTGGCTGTTGTTGTATTGGATCACATATCGGACATGTTTTTTTCCTTGTGTATTTTGTTCTCAATATTCCCCCAGGAACTTTGATGGTTATTGTTGTTGTTTTTATTATGATTGTTATCATTATTATGTAATAGACACATAATAGTAGTAGTATTATGTGTAGTAGACACATACTAGTAGAGAGTTCCAGGGCCAGAGAAGCAGATGGCGGAAACAGAAGAACGGCCTGCCTCAGGGGAGCGTGCTTACTCCATTCATGTTCAACATCTACACAAATGACAAGCCACTGCCAGAAGGGACAGAGAGCTTCATCTATGCTGACGATCGTGCCATCACCACTCAAGCAGGGAACTTTGAGATGGTAGAACATAAGCTTTCCGAAGCTCTAGGTGCTCTTACTGCCTACTACAGGGAAAGCCAGCTGATCCCTAATCCATCTAAAACACAGACATGTGCTTTTCATCTCAAGAACAGACAAGCATCCCGAACTCCGAGGATGACCTGGGAAGGAATCCCACTGGAGCATTGCAGCGCACCCAAATACCTGGGAGTCACTCTGGACCGTTCTCTGACCTACAAGAAGCACTGCCTGAACATCAAGCAAAAAGTGGGTGCTAGGAACAACATCATACGAAAGCTGACTGGCACAACCTGGGGATCACAACCAGACACAGTGAAGACATCTGCCCTTGCGCTATGCTACTCTGCTGCTGAGTATGCATGCCCAGTGTGGAACACATCTCACCACACTAAAACAGTAGATGTGGCTCATAATGAGACATGCCGCATTGTCACGGGGTGTCTGCGCCCTACACCACGGGAGAAACTACACTGTCTAGCCGGTATTGCACCACCTGACATCCTCCAGGAAGTAGCAGCCAATAGTGAAAGGACCAAGGCAGAGACATCTCCAGCCCATCCCTTGATTGGGTGTCAGCCAGCACGTCAACAACTTAAATCAAGAAATAGTTTTCTAAGATCTACAGAGATAATCAGCAAGCAAGAGTCCAAAAGTGGCAGGCTCAAACCCAGAACCTCAACCAATATCTGATACCAAATGAAACACTACCCCGTGGGCACACAGAAGACTGGGCGACTTGGAAGGCGCTGAACAGACTGCGCTCTGGCAACACGAGATGCAGAGCCAACCTCAAGAAATGGGGCCACAAAGTGGAATCCACGACATGCGAGTGCAGAGAAGAGCAAACCACTGACCACCTGCTGCAATGCAACCTGAGCCCTGCCACATGCACAAGGGAGGACCTCCTTGCGGCAACACCAGAGGCACTCCAAGTGGCCAGATACTGGTCAAAGGACATTTAATCAACTACCAAACTCGCAAATTTTGTATTTTCTCTGTTTGTTTGTTTGTTTTGTTCTGTTAGAAATGTAATGCAATTGATTGGTTGCCCTGACACGACAAATAAAATTGAATTCTTGGGCCATTTTTCCAAGTAGGCTAGTCAGATATTTTAGCCAAAATCCGTGCAGTTGATCACTACCACCCAATGTCCAGTTCTTGACTTTTTGCACTCGATTGCTGATCATTTCAGTTATTATTATTATTATTATTATTATTATTATTATTATTATTAATTCTGTTTAAAACAGAAGTCCTTCCAGCCTGCCAGTTGCCATATTTACCACTAGATGGCACATTAGGATCTATAATTTCTATTTATCAGGTCAGGAGCGTGGACTCCACTTTGTGGCCCCATTTCTTAAGGTTAGCTCTGCATCTCGTGGTGCCAGAGCGCAGTCTGTTCAGCGCCTTCCAAGTCACCCAGTCTTCTGTGCACCCAGGAGGGAGTCTCTCATCCGGTATCAAGTCACTGCTTGAGTTTCTGGGTTTCAGCCTGCCACTTTTGGACTCTCGCTTGCTCCAGCGAGTATTTATTTATTTCATATTTCACATAATTATATCCCGCCCTTCTCCCCACAAGGGGGACTCAGCGTGGCCTCACATGAGCATCAGAGGATGCTAACGGCATAAATACAGTAAAAATTACAATTTACAATAAAATTATTTTAAAACATTATACTACATCATCTGTAAAATTTAACAATAAATTAATAGATTAACGTGCCAGCAGAGGCGGCCCTAGGTAATTTTCAACGGTAAGCAAACAGTATTTTGGCACCCCCCCCCCCATCATTGAATGCTCTTTGATTGTAGGTGAACTATACATCCCAGTAACTACAACTCGCATATGTCAAGGTCTATTTTCCCCCAAGAGCGCCTCAACCAATCACTGAATGCTCTTTGATTGTAGGTGAACTATACATCCCAGTAACTACAGCTCGCATATGTCAAGGTCTATTTTCCCCCAAGAGCGCCTCAACCAGTCATTGAATGCTCTTTGATTGTAGGTGAACTATACATCCCAGTAACTACAACTCGCATATGTCAAGGTCTATTTTCCCCCAAGAGCGCCTCAACCAATCACTGAATGCTCTTTGATTGTAGGTGAACTATACATCCCAGTAACTACAACTCGCATATGTCAAGGTCTATTTTCCCCCAAGAGCGCCTCAACCAATCACTGAATGCTCTTTGATTGTAGGTGAACTATACATCCCAGTAACTACAACTCGCATATGTCAAGGTCTATTTTCCCCCAAGAGCGCCTCAACCAATCACTGAATGCTCTTTGATTGTAGGTGAACTATACATCCCAGTAACTACAGCTCGCATATGTCAAGGTCTATTTTCCCCCAAGAGCGCCTCAACCAGTCATTGAATGCTCTTTGATTGTAGGTGAACTATACATCCCAGTAACTACAACTCGCATATGTCAAGGTCTATTTTCCCCCAAGAGCGCCTCAACCAATCATTGAATGCTCTTTGATTGTAGGTGAACTATACATCCCAGTAACTACAACTCGCATATGTCAAGGTCTATTTTCCCGCAAGAGCGCCTCAAGAGCGCCCCTGGGCAAAATCAACTATACTGCAAATGCTTACTTTGCATATGGGTTGAGCCGCCCCTGAGTGGAGGTTAAATGGGGCTAACTGAAAGGCCTTTTTGTAAATAATAGTGTGGCACCGATAAGACTGGCAAAGTGTTTTCTACTTTTCCTTCGGTCCGTATGCACCAACGCAGCCCGATAGTAAGGCCAAAACCAGAGAGCCAAGGGTGTTGTTACACTGCGAGAGGAGAGGAGAAGAGCCAAAGAGGCTTCCCGAGGGCTCTTTGCATTGCTCCTGGCCCTTCTCTGTGGCTGGAGTGGGATCAATGCTGGCTCTGTGGAGCAGAAGCGTGTGGCAGGAAAGGGGTGGAGGACGTGTGGGAAGGGTGGGGAGGGCTGGGCCCCCCTCTCAGAGGCTCCCCGGCCCAGCTTCTGAGGGACAGAAGGAGAACGAGAGTGCGGACAGACACAGCTTGGCCTCAGCTCTGCTTTGGGGATGGAGCCCGGCAGAAAAGGTCCCGGCTGGAGAGACCAAGGGAGCAGCCCCAGGACAGGGGTCTGACCGCTGCATGGAGTGGCCCTCGGCTAATAGGCCCCATCTCTTTCTTTCCTGGGTTGTATTTGCCCCTTCTGTTTCTTTCTGTCTTTCGATTTGCCCTTCTTCTTCTTTCTTTTTTTTGTAGACTGCCCTTCTTTCTTTTGACAAGCTGAACTCCCCCAGGAGCTTTATTTTGGTGCAACAGACTCTGCAGACTTTTCCGTGGACAGGTCGGAAGAACTTCTGCATCTTTTAATCAGTGACATTCTTGTCCTTTCTTTCCTTCCTTCCTTCCTTCCTTCCTTCCTTCCTTCCTTCCTTCCTTCCTTCCTTCCTTCCTTCCTATTTGCCTTCCTTCCATTTCTTCCTCTCTTTTATTTGCCCCTCCTTTTTCTTTCTTTTTATTTGCTCCTGTTCCTTTCTTTCTTTTCATTTGCCTTCTTCCTTCCTTCCTTCCTTCCTTCCTTCCTTCCTTCCTTCCTTCCTTCCTTCCTTCCTTTTTTTTTTCCCCTTTTTCTTTTCCTTCCTTCCTTCCTTCCTTCCTTCCTTCCCTTCTTCCTTCCTTCCTTCCTTCCTTCCTTCCTTCCTTCCTTCCTTCCTTCCTTCCTTCCTATTTGCCTTCCTTCCATTTCTTCCTCTCTTTTTATTTGCCCCTCCTTTTTCTTTCTTTTTATTTGCTCCTCTTCCTTTCTTTCTTTTCATTTGGCTCCTTCCTTCCTTCCTTCCTTCCTTCCTTCCTTCCTTCCTTTCTTCCTTTTTTTTTTTCCCTTTCTTTTCTTTCTTCTTTTTCCTTCCTCCCTCCCTCCCTCCTCCTCCCCTCCCCCTCCTCCCTCCCTCCATCCCATTCCTTCCTTCCTTCCTTCCTTCCTTCCTTCCTTCCTTCCTGCTCCTCCTGTTCCTTTCCTTCTTTTCATTTGCCTTCCTTCCTTTCTTTTCTTCCTTTCTTTTTATTTGTCCTTTCTTTCTTTCTTTCTTTCTTTCTTTCTTTCTTTTTTCCTTTCTTTTTGTCCCTCCTTTTTCTTTCTTTTTATTTGCTCCTCCTGCTCCTTTCTTTCTTTTCATTTGTCTTCCTTCCTTCCTTCCTTTCTCCAGTTTCCTCCTTTTTGTTTGTTCCCCTTTTTTCTTTTCCTTCCTTCCTTTCCTTCCTTCCTTCCTTCCTTCCTTCCTTCTTCCTTCCTTCCTGCACCTCCTGTTCCTTTCCTTCTTTTCATTTGCCTTCCTTCCTTTTCTTCCTTTCTTTTTATTTGTCCCTTTTTCATTCTTTTTATTTGCTCCTCCTGTTCCTTTTTTCTTTTCATTTGCCTTCCTTCCTTCCTTCCTTCCTTCCTTCCTTCCTTCCTTCCTTCCTTCCTTCCTTCCTTTCCTCCCCTCCTCCCTTCCTCCCATTTCTTTGTTCCCCTTTTTCTTTTCTTTCTTTTGCCCTTCCTTCCTTCCTGCTCCTCCTGTTCCTTTACTTCTTTTCATTAGCCTTCCTTTCTTTTTATTTGTCCTTTTTTCTTTCCTTCCTTCCTTTCTTTTTGCCCCTTCTTTTTCTTTCTTTTTATTTGCTCCTCCTATTCCTTTCTTTCTTTTCATTTGACTTCCTTCCTTCCTTCCTTCCTTCCTTCCTTCCTTCCTTCCTTCCTTCCTTCCTTCCTTCCTTTTCTTACTTTTTTCTTTCCCCTTTTTCTTTTCTTCTTTCTTTTTGCCCCTCCTCCTTCCTTCCTTCCTTCCTTCCTTCCTTCCTTCCTTCCTTCCTTCCTTCCTTCCGTCTGCTCCTCCTGTTCCTTTCTTTTCATTTGCCTTCCTTTTCTTCCTTTCTTGTTATTTGTCCCTCGATTTTCTTTTTTTCCTTTCTTTTTGCCACTCCTTTTTCTTTCTTTTTATTTGCCCCTCCTATTCCCTTCCTTCCTTTTTTCCTTCCTTCCGTTTCTTTCTTTTTTGTTTCTTTCTTCCTTCCTCTTCCTTTCTCTCCCTCCCTCTTTCTTTCTCCTTCCTTCCTTCCTTCCTTCCTTCCTTCCTTCCTTCCTTCCTTCCGTCTGCTCCTCCTGTTCCTTTCTTTTCATTTGCCTTCCTTTTCTTCCTTTCTTGTTATTTGTCCCTCGATTTTCTTTTTTTCCTTTCTTTTTGCCACTCCTTTTTCTTTCTTTTTATTACTCTTTTCTTTCTTTCTTTCTTTCTTTCTTTCTTTCTTTCTTTCTTTCTTTCTCCCCCCCCCCTCTCTTTGCCTTTCTTTCTTTCTTTCTTTCTTTCTTTCTTTCTTTCTTTCTTTCTTTCTTTCTTTCTTTCTCTCTCTCTCTCTCTCTCTCTATGTCAGGATAACTTCAGCATCTTTTCGTTCCATCTTGGTGGACTGAGACTTTGGACAATTCCTCAGCCAGAGAGCAGGATTTTGGCACCCTCCAAAATAAATTGGCACTAAACAAAAAATACAAAGCATCCCGTCGCCTTCAAAGCAGGGCATCCGAGCAGCAGTTTGCCCCCTTTCTAGCCTGGATTTCGGGGTGCGGGTGTCCTTATCACCCCCAAACATGTTCATTGCTGTGCTTCTGGTGGTGCCACTGGTCCTAGGCCCCAGCGGGGTGGCCCAGGCGCTCTCAACGTGCCAGACCCTGGACCTGGAGGTGGCCCGGGCCCGGCGGGTCGAGGCCGTACGAGGGCAAATCCTGAGCAAGCTGCAGCTGGTGGCACCCCCTGAGGAAGAGGAAGGGGTTCCCGAACAGCCGCCGGCCGAGGTGATGCTGCTGTACAACAGCACAAAGGAGCTCTCCCGGGAAAGAGGTGCCTGCGGTGGACGCAGCGCCAGCAGCAGCGAAGAGGAGGAGTACTATGCCAAGGAAGTGCGGCGCGTGGACATGTTGCCTCCTGGGCACACTGACAGTAAGGAGCATTGGGAAGGGCAGTGACATAGATATAGATTTTTATTGATTTATCGTATCAGAAACGGTGTGTGTGTGTATCTCAGACATGGGCTGTGTGCCATGGGGACTTGAACTCATTTGGAGTGGCCAGGTATTCCTGGACGACTTGTTTCCCATTTGGGGTTGAATGTCCTCTAATCCCTCATCCATTCCATCTTGCTGAGGTTGAAGATGACTTTCTTATTGTGAGAAGACTGAGGCAAAAAAGGCATTAAGCAGTTCTGCTTTTTCCCTATTCCCTGTCAGCATTGCCCCATCTTCTCCTCAAAAAGGCCCTATCTCCTCCTTCCTTTTTCTACTGACATAAGAAAAGAAGCCCTTTTTATTGTTTTTAATGTCCCTGGCAAACCTGAGCTCATTTTGTGCTTTAGCCTTGCGGACCTTTTCCCTACAGGAGTTGGCTATTTGTTTGAATTCTTCTTTGGTGATTTCTCCCTTTTTCCATTTCTTGTGCATGTCTCTTTTGTGTCTTAGCACAGTTAGAAGTTCTTTGGACATCCATTCTGGCTTCTTTGCCCTTGTCCTATGTTTTCTCTTTGTTGGCACTGTTTGCAATTGTGCCTTGAGTATTTCACTTTCATTTGATATCACCTACTCTCATTTGGTATCACCTACTGATTGAGGCTCTGGGTTTTAGCCTGACACTTTTGGACTCTCACTTGCTGAGATGTTCCTGCAAGTATCTCTGTAGATCTTATGAAGTTGTTTCTTGATTTAAGGTGTTGGCGTGTTGGCTGATATCCGAACAGAGGATGGACTGGAGATGTCAATGTCTTGGTCCTTTGATTACTGGCTGCTACTTCTCTGCAGTTGTCAGATGGTGCAAGAAAGGCCTCCAGTATTTTATGCTGGGCATGGGGGCTCTGTGTGCATGAAGAGCTGGAGCTGACAGAGGGAGCTCATCCATGCTATCCCCAGATTCGAACCTGTGACCTGTCGGTCTTCAGTCCTGACAACACAAGGGTTTAACCCACTGCGCCACCAGTGTTGTAGGTGAACTACAACTCCTATAAATCCCTCCAAAGACCTCCAGTATTTTTTCTTGGTCATGGGGGTTTTATGTGCCAAGTTAGTTCTAGGTCCATTGTTGGTGAAGTTCAGAGTGCTCTTCGATTGCAGGTGAACTATACATCTCAGGGCCTACAACTCCTATAAATCATGAATTCTCCCCAAACCTCTCTAGTCTGTTCCGTTGCTGATCAATTCCTCTGTTTGCTGTGTGCTTTAGAAAAGAATAGGAAAGGGTTAAGGGTGAGGAAGTGGACGGGGCCATGCAAATTCCACACCAATGGAGAGAGTAAGAAACACTGGGTTGTCTGGGGTGGAGGAAACACGTAAAATCTAGAATGAAATTGTCCCTATAGGAAAGCCTTTACTTGGGTGGTTTATTTATCGTGTCAGGAGCGAACCAAAACAGTTGCATTGCATTAAAAACAAACAAACAAACAAAACATAACAGTTTGCAGACTTGGTATCCTATTAAATGTCCTTTGACCAGTATCTGGCCACTTGGAGTGCCTCTGGTGTTGCTGCAAGAAGGTCCTCCATTGTGCATGTGGCAGGGCTCAGGTTGCATTGCAGCAGGTGGTCAGTGGTTTGCTCTTCTCCACACTCACATGTCAAGGATTCCACTTTGTGGCCCCATTTCTGAAGGTTGGCTCTGCCTCTCGTGGTGCCGGAGCGCAGTCTGTTCAGTGCCTTCCAAGGATGGTGGGCAGTGTGGACATTTAAAAGACATTGGCAGGGCTTGAAGTCAATAGGAACTTTAGGAGGGTCTTCCCCAGGAGGAGGGACTCTGAGACCCCCCCCCCCCCAAGAGGGATCACTACTTTGGTGAGTTAGGAGAAGCCTAATTTCAGCAATTTTTATTTCCTTAAAAATTCAAAATAAATCTCACCAAAGTTGAAGAAGCGGCACCGAGGTGTTTTTATTAGCGATTCAACTGAAAAGGATGCAATGTAGCAATTATTCGCCTACAGAGCATGTGGTTACCGAGATCAGAGGCATTTTTATAGGAAAAACAGGCTCAGAAGTTTCCAAATTCCCACCCTCCGCCTGGCTCGCGGGGGATTGGCTGATGCGATAACAGCTGGGAGGAGGCCTGGCCGCCCGCCTTGCGCCAGAGCCAATCACAGAGCTCCTCCGCAATGCAGGAACCAATCGGAGAGCTCCTATTGCCTCAGCGCTCTGGCGAATCAGGAGAAGGGAGGCGGGATGAAGAAGAAACAATGGGTTTGTGAGTGGATTAATGGATTTCATGCCTTGGGGGTCCTGAGAAAGATGCCCAGTCTATTGTCTTTTGATGGGTCTGTTGATTGCTTTATCCGGGCTTTCCTGTCGCCATCAGATATGACACAATGAAGAGACTGGGGTGAATGTCCGTTGTGGCAAATTTTGAAAGAAAAAAAACAGTTTCGGGGGAAGGACGGTTCGAAGGTCCTTTGTCCCCGTTGGGAAGTGATCAAAAGTTTTCCAGACGAACCTCTTGGTTTGGCGGCCCAACTCCGAGACCAAACAAAAGGCTCTTAATCTTATGGTTCCATGCATAAGTAACAAGATAAGGATTCTTTTGTGACCGCTGATTGCCTTCTCCGAACAGCTGGTAGCTTCTTTGTTATAGGCTTGGGCAATCCATGGTTCTAAATGGTTCTAAAGTACTTACAAAACTAAAGTTCTGGTGGTGAAAATTTCAGAACTCTAACAAAACTTTCAAAATTTAATTATTATTTCATTATTGGTGATTTTAAACACAGAACCAATTAGGAAATGCCATTTATTGTGAAATGTTGAGAGTTTTGTTAGAGTTCTGAAATTTTCACCACCAGAACTTTAGTTTTGTAAGTACTTTAGAACCATTTAGAACCATGGATTGCCCAAGCCTACTTTGTTAACTTTTCCCCAAAGGGGGGAGGGGAAGGAGTCAGGGCAAAATGACGGAAAATACATGAGGAAATATAGGAATCACAAGGAATTCATATCAGGCATCCCCTCCCTCCCCCCACCCGCCAGAGAAATTGATTAGAATAATAATTTTAATAAAACATGTGTCCATAGTTCATGCGGAGGAAATTCATACGTGAAAATGAGTTCATCAGAACCAAAAATGTTTTGTAGGAAGTCCAACAGTCACTAAAGGAGCTTGGTGATTTCCACTGAGCCAAGGAATGGAGTCCTGCAGCACCAAGATCAAGCTGGTCCTTGGTCCTTGAGAAACTATAACTCCCACCAAAGACTGGGACCCCAAGGCCAGGCTCTTCCCTGAAGGCCTCATGGGGTCGTTGTTGTTGTTAGTGTCTTGGCAAATTGACCAAGACTTAACCCCTATTGTACAGTCTGGTACCCTTGCCCTTTACAGAACTATAAGTTACCATCCCTTATTTGTGTATAATATCACAAAGGATTACCATCTCACCCGCCTCATAGGAAACCTGCTACAAAACAGGAGCTTTTTTGTTGAGTCCCAGAGCCAGAGAAGCAGAAGAATGGCCTGCCTCAGGGGAGCGTGCTCGCTCCATCCATGTTCAACATCTACACAAATGACCAGCCACTGCCAGAAGGGACAGAGAGCTTCATCTATGCTGATGATCGTGCCATCACCACTCAAGCAGGGAGCTTTGAGATGCTTGAACAGAAGCTTTCCGAAGCTCTAGGTGCTCTTACTGCCTATTACAGGGAAAACCAACTGATCCCTAATCCATCTAAAACACAGACATGTGCCTTTCACTTTAAGAACAGACAAGCATCCTGAGCTCTGAGGATTACCTGGGAAGGCATCCCATTGGAGCATTGCAGCACGTCCAAATACCTGGGAGTCACTCTGGACCGTGCTCTGACCTACAAGAAGCACTGCCTGAACATCAAACAAAAAGTGGGTGCTAGGAACAACATCATACGAAAGCTGACTGGCACAACCTGGGGATCACAACCAGATACAGTGAAGACATCTGCCCTTGCGCTATGCTACTCTGCTGCTGAGTACGCATGCCCAGTGTGGAACACATCTCACCACACTAAAACAGTAGATGTGGCTCTTAATGAGACATGCCGCATTATCACAGAGTGTCTGCGCCCTACACCACTGGAGAAATTACACTGTCTAGCCGGTATTGCACCACCTGACATCCGCCAGGAAGTAGCAGCCAATAGTGAAAGGACCAAGGCAGAGACATCTCCAGCTCATCCCCTGTTTGGGTATCAGCCAGCACATCTACGACTTAAATCTAGAAATAGATCTACAGAGACACTTGCCGGAACACCTCAGCAAGCGAGAGTCCAAAAGTGGCAGGCTCAAACTCAGCACCTCAATCCGTGAGTGATACCAAATGAGAGACTCCCCCCCTGGGCACACAGAAGACTGGGAGACTTGGAAGGTGCTGAACAGACTGCGCTCTGGCACCACGAGATACAGAGCCAACCTTCAGAAATGGGGCCACAAAGTGGAATCCTCGACATGCGAGTGCGGAGAAGAGCAAACCACTGACCACCTGCTGCAATGCACCCTGAGCCCTGCCACATGCACAAGGGAGGACCTCCTTGCGGCAACACCAGAGGCACTCCAAGTGGCCAGATACTGGTCAAAGGACATTTAATCAGCTACCAAGTTTGCAAAATTTGTAAGTTTTTTTCCAATCTGTTTGTTTGTTTTGTTCTGTTAGAACTGTAATACAATGTTCTGGTTGTGGATGACACTATAAATAAATATTGGGGGCGGGGGGGGGGGGCATGCTCGACTTCACTCTGATGCCATTTGCTCTTTCCTCCTCCTCTGCAGACGCCATCTCCAGCACCCAAAGCAGCCCTTTCTTCCGCCTCCTCCACTTCGATGTCTCTGGTGCCGAATCCAACCTCAGCAGCCTCGTCCAGGCCGAACTCCGCATCTACAGAGTCCCCAACCCTCGGGCACGAGCCACGGAGCAACGCCTGGAGCTCTATCAGGTTGGAGCTCTATCAGGGTTTGCCTTGCCATTCATTGGGGTCCCAACCACCATGGGTTGCCCATCCTCTCCTTGGAGGACCTCTTGACTTGGATCGTTCCATTAAAAGGAGCAGGTTGCTGTGGATAATGAGACCCAGTGTGGTTTAGTGGTTGGAGGGTTGGACCAAATGGTCCTTGGGGCCTATTCCAATTCTAGGATACTTACTTAGGCGATCCCTCATAGCATGAGGATGATGGTCCGTCAAGTGTAGTGTCTTGGTGGTGGATCCATAGATGGCTGTGGAGCCCTATTCTTGATCCACATGTTCTCCCACAGTGAGGACATCAGTTCCCAGATGGAAGGTGGTCCTGGTAAGGGTTGGTTTGACAAGCCTTCCTCTTGGCACATTTCCCCCTTCCACCCTCCATTAGTGCCTCTTTGAATTCTGCAGCACTGCTGGTCACAGCTGACCTCCAGCTGTGACCAAGAGCCAGGGCTTCCCAGCTCAAGAGCCAGGGCTTCCCAGTTCTCTGGCTTGTGCCAGAGTCTTTGCAATTCAATCTTTATACTCTATTATTATTATTATTATTATTATTATTATTATTATTATTATTATTACTATTATTATTATTATTATTACTATTATTATTATTATTTCTCCCTTCCACCCTCCATTCGTGCCTCTTTGAATTCTGCAGCACTGCTGGTCACAGCTGACCTCCAGCAGGAGAGCTCAAGAGCCAGGGCTTCCAATTTCTCTGGCTTGTGCCAGAGTCTTTGCAATTCGATCTTTATACTCTATTATTATTATTATTATTATTATTACTATTATTATTACTATTATTATTACTATTATTATTATTATTATTATTATTATTATTTGAAACACAACAAGATGAGTTTTAAGGTTGGCTTAAGTCCATCTTGAAATCTCACCGGGATTGTGGCACAGCCGGCTGAGTGTCAGCTGCATTAAGATCACTCTGACCAAAAAAGGTCATGAGTTCGAAGCCAGTCCGGGTTGAAGTGGGCTTCCAACCAATTGTGTAGCCTGTTGTCGACATTTGCAACCCGAAAGACAGTTGCATCTGTCAAGTAGGAAAATTAGGTACCACCTTGTGTGGGGATTTCTCCCTTCCACCCTCCATTCGTGCCTCTTTGAATTCTGCAGCACTGCTGGTCACAGCTGACCTCCAGCAGGAGAGCTCAAGAGCCAGGGCTTCCAATTTCTCTGGCTTGTGCCAGAGTCTTTGCAATTTGATCTTTATACTCTATTATTATTATTATTATTATTATTATTATTATTATTATTACTATTACTATTATTATTATTAGAAACACAACAAGATGAGTTTTAAGGTTCGCTTAAGTCCATCTTGAAATCTCACCGGGATTGTGGCACAGCCGGCTGAGTGTCAGCTGCATTAAGATCACTCTGACCAAAAAAGGTCATGAGTTCGAAGCCAGTCCGGGTTGGAGTGGGCTTCCAACCAATTGGGTAGTCTGTTGTCGACCTTTGCAACCCAAAAGACAGTTGCATCTGTCAAGTAGGAAAATGAGGTACCACCTTAAAGTGAGGGGAGGCTAAATTAACTAATTTACGAGGCCATAAAAAAAGACTCCAGCAAAGCACTCCAGCAGGGAAGCATGCGGGGAATGCGGAAGTACTTCATCAGTGTCGCAGATGGACGATGGAAGCGACAGCTCCCCTGGCGGCCAGAAAAAGTTAAATAGCCTCTGTGTATGTCTGTATATGTTGTATATCAAATTGGCATTGAATGTTTGCCATATATGTGTACACTGTAATCCGCCCTGAGTCCCCTGCGGGGTGAGAAGGGCGGAATATAAATACTATAATTAATTAATTAATTAATTAATTAATTAAATACCTGTCCACCAACATTCCGTTTCCTGTTCTTGAGTTGGGAGTATTTATTTATTTACGACATTTATATGTCACCCTTCTCACCCCGAAGCAGACTCAGAGAGGCTTACAAGTAAAAAGTAAATACAATATATTATATTATTATCATAGCACAATATTAATATTATATATTATATGGTACTATAATATTATACTGCAATATTATTAATATTATAATTTTGGGAAGGCAAGTTAGTGACCATTAAGTAAAGATAGTCCCCTGACATTAAGTCCGGTCATGTCTGACTCTGGGGTGTGGTATTCATCTCCATTGCTAAGCCAAAGAGCCGGCGTTGTCCGTAGACACCTCCAAGGTCATGTGGCCAGCATGACCGCATGGAGCGCCATTACCTTCCCGCCGGAGCGGTACCTATTGATCTACTCACATTTGCATGTTTTCGAACTGCTAGGTTGGCAGAAGCTAGGGCTGACAGCGGAAGCTCACGCCGCTCCCCGGAATCGAACCTGCGACCTTTTGGTCAACAAGCTCAGCAGCTCAGTGCTTTAACCCACTGCGCCACCGGGGGGCCCACTAGTGACCATTAGATTTGAGTAAATGAATTATTATTATTATTATTATTATTATTATTATTTGATTCACAACAACACAAGCAAACAAGATCACATATCAGGACGCTTCCCAAGTGTCTAGGACTGTGTGATGTATTGGCAAATAATGTTTGCAGATCCCAGTAAGGTGGCCTTTTGCATCTGACAGGTGGTAATATTGTCAGCACCAATTGTATTTAAGTACAGGCCAAGGTCATTAGGCATTGCACCCAGTGTGCTGTTCACCACTGGGACCACCTTGACTGGCTTGTGCCAGTCTTTGCAGTTTGATCTTTAAACTCTATTATTATTATTATTATTATTATTATTATTATTATTATTATTAGAAACACAACAAGATGAGTCCACAGCAGACAGTCTGCTGGCTGTTGTATTATTATTATTATTATTATTATTATTATTATTATTATTATTATTATTATTAGAAACACAACAAGATGAGTCCACAGCAGACACTCTACTGGCTGTTGTATTATTATTATTATTATTATTATTATTATTATTATTATTATTATTATTAGAAACACAACAAGATGAGTCCACAGCGGACACTCTGCTGGCTGTATTATTATTATTATTATTACTATTATTATTATTATTATTATTATTATTATTATTATTATTATTATTATTATTATTATTTGAAACACAACAAGATGAGTCCACAGCGGACACTCTGCTGGCTGTATTATTATTACTATTATTACTATTATTATTATTATTATTATTCTCTGCTGACTTGTATTATTATTATTATTATTATTATTATTATTATTATTATTAGAAACACAACAAGATGAGTCCACAGCGGACACTCTGCTGGCTGTATTATTATTACTATTATTACTATTATTATTATTATTATTATTCTCTGCTGACTTGTATTATTATTATTATTATTATTATTATTATTATTATTATTTGAAACACAACAAGATGAGTCCACAGCGGACACTCTGCTGGCTGTATTATTATTACTATTATTACTATTATTATTATTATTATTATTCTCTGCTGACTTGTATTATTATTATTATTATTATTATTATTATTATTATTGTTATTAGAAACACAACAAGATGAGTCCACAGCGGACACTCTGCTGGCTGTTGAATTGGATCACACGTTGGATACTTCTATTATTATTATTATTATTTGAAACACAACAAGATGAGTCCACAGCGGACACTCTGCTGGCTGTATTATTATTATTATTATTATTATTATTATTCTCTGCTGACTTGTATTATTATTATTATTATTATTATTATTATTGTTATTAGAAACACAACAAGATGAGTCCACAGCGGATGCTCTGCTGGCTGTTGAATTGGATTATTATTATTATTATTATTATTATTATTTGAAACACAACAAGATGAGTCCACAGCAGACACTCTACTGGCTGTTGAATTGCATCACGCATTATTATTATTATTATTATTATTATTATTATTATTATTATTATTATTATTATTTGCTGGATAAAGAGAGTCCCATGCAACTGTAATCATTCGTTCATTGTTTCGTAAACACATTGACTTGTTTTGATTTTGTACACAACTTTTTGTAAACAACTAGAAAGGGCAGAGTATACATCTTAACCAACAACAACAATAACAAACTCCTCAGGTGGTTCGGGCAAGGGAGCCCTTGGCATCAACTCAGCGCTATGTGGAAAGCAAGACTTTGCACCCCGCGGATCGGGCCGAGTGGATCTCCTTTGATGTCACGGACACGGTCAGCCAGTGGCTGGGCAAGAGAGGTGAGGGTCTTGTTATTCAAGGGACTGCCACTTTCCCCCATTGACTCTCTGCTTATGACTGTTGGAGGTTCTGTGTGGGAAGTTTGGCCCAATTCTGTTGTTGGTAGGGTTCAGAATGCTCTTTGATTGTATGTGAACTATAACTCCCAAATGTCAAGGTCTATTTTCCCCAAACTCCACCAGTGTTCACATTTGGACATATTGAGGATTTGTGCCAAGTTTGGTCCAGACGCATCATTGTTTGAGTCCACAGTGCACTCTGGATGTACGTGAACTACAACTCCCAAACTCAAGGTCAATACCCACCAAACCCAGTATTTTCTGTTGGTCATGGTGGTTCTGTGTGCCAAGTTTGGTTCAATTCCATCATTTGTGGAGTTCAGAGTGCTCTTTGATTGTGGGTGAACTATAAATCCCAGCAACTACAACTCCCAAATGTCAAGGACTATTTCCCCCAAACTCCACCAGTGTTCACATTTGGACATATTGAGGATTCATGCCAAGTTTGGTCCTCATCCATCATTGTTTGAGTCCACAGTGCTCTCCAGATGTAGGTGAACTACAACTTCCAAACTCAAGGTCAATGCCCACCAAACCCTTCCAGTATGTTCTGTTCGTCATGGGAGTTCTGTGCACCAAGTTTGGTGGGTACTGATCTTGAGTTCAATTCCATTGTTGGTGGAGTTCAGAATACTCCTTGATTGTAGGTGAACTATAACTCCCAAATGTCAAGGTCTATTTTCCCCAAACTCCACCAGTGTGCCAAGTTTAGTTCAATTCCATCGTTTGTGGAGTTCAGAGTGCTCTTTGATTGTAGATGAACTATAAATCCCAGCAACCACAACTCCAAAATGTCAAGGACTATTTCCCCCCCCAAACTCCACCAGTGTTCACATTTGGGCATATTGAGTATTTTTGCCAAGTTTGGTCCAGATCCATCATTGTTTGAGTCCACAGTGCACTCTGGATGAAAGTGAACTATAACTCCCAAATATCAAGGACTATTTCCCCCAAACTCCACCAGTGTTCACATTTGGGAATATTGAGGATTCATGCCAAGTTTGGTCCAGATGCTTCATTGGTTAAGTCCACAGTGCACTCTGGATGTAGGTGAACTACAACTCCCAAACTCAAGGTCAATGCCCACCAAACCCTTCCAGTATGTTCTGTTGGTCATGGGAGTTCTGTGTGCCAAATTTGGTTCAATTCCATTATTTGTGGAGTTCAGAGTGCTCTTTGATTGTAGGTGAACTATAACTCCCAAATGTCAAGGTCTATTTTCCCCAAACTCCACCAGTGTTCACATTTGGGTGAACTATAAATCCCAGCAACTACAACTCCAAATGTCAAGGACTATTTTCCCCAAACTCCACCAGTATTCACATTTGGACATACTGAGAATCCGTGCAAAGTTTGGTCCAGACCCATCATTGTTTGAGTCCACAGTGCACTTTGGATGTAGGTGAACTACAACTCCCAAACTCAAGGTCAATACCCACCAACCCTTCCAGTATTTTCTGTTGGTCATGGTAGTTCTGTGTGCCAAGTTTGGTTCAATTCCATTGTCTGTAGAGTTCAGAATACTCTTTGATTGTAGGTGAACTATAAATCCCAGCAACTACAACTCCTAAATGACAAAATCAATCACCCCCAATCCCACCAGTATTCAAATTTGGGCGTATCGGGTATTTGTGCCAAATTTGGTCCAGTGAATGAAAATACATCCTGCATATCAGAAATTTACATTACGATTCATATTAGTAACAAATGAAGTATCATCAAAAATAATATTATGTTTGGGGGTCACCACAACGTGAGGAACGATATTAAGGGGTCGCAACATTAGGAAGGTTGAGAACCATTGATATAGGGGAAATCAATATGATCTAACGATTGGAGGGTTGGACTGGGACTTGAGAGGTAATAATAATAATAATAATAATAATAATAATAATAATAATAATCTATATCTATAAATCTGTAAGGGGCGTCCAACGGGACAGCAAAACTCAAAAACCCCCCAATGAAAATTAACCAAAATTCCCATGCACATACCTCAACCCACAAGGTACAAACATATCGAATCAAAATACTGAACAACACAACAACACACTCACAAAAGGACAAAACAACTGAGCATGCGCAATGGCGCAAAGTCCCCGGCGCATGCGCGCGCACATGGCCGAATGGCCAACGCACCCTCCGCACCTCCCTCCCTCGTCCCGCTCAGCACGATTACGCCACAACACGTCACCTCATTCCCCCGCCCCACACACACACACACACGCAACACCACGCCTCAATCTTACCTCCTCCTTCTTCTTCCCCAATCTTACCTCCTCCCCCTTTCTTCTTCCCCTCCAAGCCCCGCCCCCCCCCCCCTTCCCGTAGAGAAAGGGGGAAGGAAAGAAGGAAAGAGAGAAGGAAGAAAAGAGACAGCAGAAGAGAAAGAAAAAGGGGGAAGGAAGGAAAGAGATAGAGAAGGAAAGATGGGAAGGAAGGAAAGAAGGAAGAAAGAGAAAGGGAGGTAAAGAAAAAGGGGGAAGGAAGGAAAGTAAGAGAAAGAAGGAAGAAGAAAAGGAAAGAAAAGGAAAGATGGAAGGAAAGATAAGAGAGACAGCAGAAGAGAAAGAAAAAGGGGGAAGGAAGGAAAGAGGTAGAGAAGGAAGAAATGAGATACAGAGAAAGAAAGAAGGAAGAAAGAGAAAGGGAGGTAAAGAAAAAGGGGGAAGGAAGGAAAGTTAGAGAAAGAAGGAAGAAGAAAAGGAAAGATGGAAGGAAAGAAAAGAGAGACAGCAGAAGAGAAAGAAAAAGGGGGAAGGAAGGAAAGAGGTAGAGAAGGAAGAAATGAGAGACAGAGGGAGGGAAAGAAAAGGGGAAGGAAGGAAGGAGAGAGAGAAGGAAAGAAAAAAGGGAATGAAGGAAGGAAAGAGGGAGTGAAGGAAGGGGAAGATGTAGAGAAAGAGGGAGGGAAGGAAAGAGAGAAGGAAGGAAAGAGAGATAGCAGAAAAAAAGGGGGAAGGAAGGAAAGAGATAGAGAAGGAAGATGAGAAGGAAAGATGAGAAGGAAGGAGGGAAAGAAGGAGAGAAAGAGGGAAGGTTGGCCACAGCAAATAGAAAGTGAAAGAAGGAAGGAAACATGGAAGGAAGAAAGGAGGCAAAGGAAGAAAGGGGAGGGAATGAAGGAAAGAGAGAAGGATGAAACCAAGGAGCGAAAGAAGGAAAAAAAGAAAGAAAGAGGTAGAGAAGGAAGAAAGGAGAGAAAGGGGGAGAAAAAGGGGGAAGGAATAGGTAGGTACCTCTCTTTCATAATAGTCCAGATATCTACCTCTGCTTTGAAAAGATTTACTATAGGCCACAGCAACGCGTGGCAGGGTACAGCTAGTAATAATATATTTCTATGGGATCCATCTATTAAAATACACAGAACAAAGATTAAAATGCAGTAAACACAGGACATGAGTTCAAAATGCAAATAATCAAAAGTCTGCTTTGTGCATTCTAATAATTCCGCTCCCTTTTGCCTTCTCCCCCCCAGAAAGAAACCTGGGCCTGAAACTGGGGGTGCATTGCCCCTGCTGCACGTATGTGCCTGCTGGAAACACCATCAGCCCCAACCACAGTGAGGAGCTGGAGGCTCGGTTTGCAGGTACGAACCTATGTGTGAATGGAGGGGGAGATGGGGAGGTGTTTCCAAGCATCCCTTTCTCCCCAAGGGTCTCTCAAAGCTGCCTTCTTCTACAGGACTGGATGATGAACTCATTAAGGAGGCGTGGAAAGGTCGTGCGAGACCTCCGGATCTCAGCGGCAAAGACCCCCACATCATCCTCACCTTGCTTCCCCCACACCGGTTGGAACCTTCCCCAAAGGGTCGGCGTCGCAGATCAGCCAACAACCCCAGCTGCTCCAGGTGAGGAACCACACGTTAGATCAGGGGTCCTCAAACTACGTCCCGCGGGCCATATGCGGCCCACCAAGGGAATTTATCCAGCCCGCTGAGGGGATTGAGGAAGCACACGCTAGATCAGGGGTCCTCAAACTACGCCCCGCGGGCCACCAAGGGCATTTACCCAGCCCGCCGAGGGGATTGAGGAAGCACACGCTAGATCAGGGGTCCTCCAACTACGCCCCGCGGGCCATATGCGGCCCACCAAGGGCATGTATCCAGCCCGCCGAGGGAATTGAGGAAGCACACGCTAGATCAGGGGTCCTCAAACTACGCCCCGCGGGCCACCAAGGGCATTTATCCAGCCCGCCGAGGGGATTGAGGAAGCACACGCTAGATCAGGGGTCCTCCAACTACGCCCCGCGGGCCATATGCGGCCCACCAAGGGCATGTATCCAGCCCGCCGAGGGGATTGAGGAAGCACACGCTAGATCAGGGGTCCTCCAACTACGCCCCGCGGGCCACCAAGGGCATGTATCCAGCCCGCTGAGGGGATTGAGGAAGCACACGCTAGATCAGGGGTCCTCCAACTACGCCCCGCGGGCCATATGCGGCCCACCAAGGGCATGTATCCAGCCCGCCGAGGGAATTGAGGAAGCACACGCTAGATCAGGGGTCCTCAAACTATGCCCCGCGGGTCACCAAGAGCATTTATCCAGCCCACCGAGGGGATTGAGTAAGCACACGCTAGATCAGGGGTCCTCAAACTACGCCCTGCAGGCCACATGCGGCCCACCAAGGGCATTTATCCAGCCTGCCGAGGGGATTGAGGAAGCACACGCTAGGTCAGGGGTCCTCAAACTACGCCCCGGGCCATATGCGGCCCACCAAAAGCATTTATCCAGCCCGCCAAGGGGATTGAGGAAGCACACGCTAGGTCAGGGGTCCTCAAACTACGCCCCGCGGGCCATATGCGGCCCACCAAGGGCATTTATCCAGCCCGCCAAGGGGATTGAGGAACCACACGCTAGGTCAGGGGTCCTCAAACTACGCCCCGCGGGCCACCAAGGGCATTTATCCAGCCCACTGAGGGGATTGAGGAAGCACACGCTAGATCAGGGGTCCTCCAACTACGCCCCGCGGGCCATATGCGGCCCACCAAGGGCATGTATCCAGCCCGCCGAGGGAATTGAGGAAGCACACGCTAGATCAGGGGTCCTCAAACTACGCCCCGCGGGCCACCAAGGGCATTTACCCAGCCCGCCGAGGGGATTGAGGAAGCACACGCTAGATCAGGGGTCCTCCAACTACGCCCCGCGGGCCATATGCGGCCCACCAAGGGCATGTATCCAGCCCGCCGAGGGAATTGAGGAAGCACACGCTAGATCAGGGGTCCTCAAACTACGCCCCGCGGGCCACCAAGGGCATTTATCCAGCCCGCCGAGGGGATTGAGGAAGCACACGCTAGATCAGGGGTCCTCCAACTACGCCCCGCGGGCCATATGCGGCCCACCAAGGGCATGTATCCAGCCCGCCGAGGGAATTGAGGAAGCACACGCTAGATCAGGGGTCCTCAAACTATGCCCCGCGGGTCACCAAGAGCATTTATCCAGCCCACCGAGGGGATTGAGTAAGCACACGCTAGATCAGGGGTCCTCAAACTACGCCCTGCAGGCCACATGCGGCCCACCAAGGGCATTTATCCAGCCTGCCGAGGGGATTGAGGAAGCACACGCTAGGTCAGGGGTCCTCAAACTACGCCCCACGGGCCATATGCGGCCCACCAAAAGCATTTATCCAGCCCGCCAAGGGGATTGAGGAAGCACATGCTAGGTCAGGGGTCCTCAAACTACGCCCCGCGGGCCATATGCGGCCCACCAAGGGCATTTATCCAGCCCGCCAAGGGGATTGAGGAACCACACGCTAGGTCAGGGGTCCTCAAACTACGCCCCGCGGGCCACCAAGGGCATTTATCCAGCCCACTGAGGGGATTGAGGAAGCACACGCTAGATCAGGGGTCCTCAAACTACGCCCCGCGGGCCGTATGCGGCCCACAAGGGCATTTATCCAGCCCGCTGAGGGGATTGAGGAAGCACACGCTAGATCAGGGGTCCTCAAACTACGCCCCGCGGGCCATATGCGGCCCACCAAGGGCATTTATCCAGCCCGCCGAGGGGATTGAGGAAGCACACGCTAGATCAGGGGTCCTCAAACTACGCCCCGCGGGCCATATGCGGCCCACCAAGGGCATTTATCCAGCCCGCCGAGGGGATTGAGGAAGCACACGCTAGATCAGGGGTCCTCAAACTACGCCCCGCGGGCCACATGCGGCCCACCAAGGGCATTTATCCAGCCCGCCGAGGGGATTGAGGAAGCACATGCTAGATCAGGGGTCCTCAAACTACGCCCCGCGGGCCATATGCGGCCCACCAAGGGCATTTATCCAGCCCGCCGAGGGGATTGAGGAAGCACACGCTAGATCAGGGGTCCTCAAACTACGCCCCGCGGGCCATATGCGGCCCACTAAGGGGATTTATCCAGCCCGCCGAGGGAATTGAGGAAGCACACGCTAGATCAGGGGCCCTCAAACTACGCCCCGCGGGCCATATGCGGCCCACTAAGGGGATTTATCCAGCCCGCCGAGGGAATTGAGGAAGCACACGCTAGATCAGGGGCCCTCAAACTATGCCCCGCAGACCATATGTGGCCCACGAAGGGCATTTATCCAGCCCGCCAAGGGGATTGAGGAAGCACACGCTAGATCAGGAGTCCTCAAACTACGCCCCGCGGGCATTATGCGGCCCACCAAGGGGATTTATCCAGCCCGCCGAGGGGATTGAGGAAGCACATGCTAGATCAGGGGTCCTCAAACTATGCCCCGCGGGCCATATGCGGCCCACCAAGGGCATTTATCTAGCCCGCCGAGCAGATTGAAGAAGCACACGCTAGATCAGTGGTCCTCAAACTACGCCCCGCGGGCCACATGCGGCCCACCAAGGGCATTTATCCAGCCCGCCGAGGAGATTGGGCTTCGCATAAAGCCCCTCGCTGCTTCCATTCCTTGCAGGTGAGGGGATTGGGCCTTGCAAGTGGCGAGGGGCTTCATGTGAGGCCAGGCTGTGCGGTGCAGCTTTTCTGGCTTGTGCTGCCAGTGCCGTCGCGGCTGGGGATTTTGCACTTAGTGAAAGAGGCATGGACATGACATCTTTCTCCCAGGGGATTGCTTCTTGCCCTCCTTTAGGAAAACTGGAACTCCCAAAGACCAAAACACTGTAGATAACTCTAAATAGGTTTAATTGTTCACAAAGAGTTATCCCTTTAAGACAATAAGCTGGAAGTTTCAAAGGGGTAAAGGAAAATATACATTACAGTCTCTGGTTGTCTTGAGTCCAAGGAGTTTTGCAGCTGAGAAGCTTTTCCAAGTCCCTCTTTCGCAATGGCTGTGAATATCGGAATAATCACAACCCCAATTCCAATGGCCTATATTTTGAAGGCACAAAGCCTTCCTCTGGTGCCAAAGAACTGGTTTGAAGGCACTTGAAACTTCTCTACATCATCCAGGTTGATCTGAACATGAAGCATAAGTCTCAAGGGTAAGAACCTCAGAATTGGTGCTGAGAGGTAACTTAATCAAGGGCTTCAGAGCCAAGTCTCTCTCTCACATGCATCTGATAGAAAGTTTGATGGTGGAATGGAAAAGGAAACACTGTCCTGCTCTCTAGCAGGAGGAGCAATTCAACTGGTGCAAACAACATTGATTGACAGCTATAAATAACCAATCAATCCAACTATACATTTACAGGGTAAAAAGGCAAAATCAGACATGATACAACAGTTCAAATCCTGCAACTTACAGTTCTACATATAGGTGGCGTCACTCGCGCTGTCACACTGCCCCTCATGCGAGCCAGGAAAGGAAGGCTGCACCGCACAGCCTGGTATCGCAAAAAAACCCTCGCCGCTTGCCAGGCCCAAGCCCCTTACCTGGCTCGTGCCCCTCGTCCAACCCCATTCTGCCAAGAAGCAGGAAAATTGCATTCAAAGCACCCCCGACAGATGGCCATCCAAACTCTAAAAGTTTCCAAAGAAGGAGCCTCTACCACACTCCGGGGCAGAGAGTTCCACTGCTGAACGGCTCTCACAGTCAGGAAGTTCTTCATCATGTTCAGATGGAATCTCCTTTCTTGTAGTTTGAAGCCATTGTTCCGTGTCCTAGTCTCCAGGGTGGCAGAAAACAAGCTTGCTCCCTCCTTGCTATGACTTCCCCTCACAAACTTACACATGGCTGTCATGTCTCCTCTCAGCTTTCTCTTCTTCAGGCTAAACATGCCCAGCTCTTTAAGCTGCTCCTCATGGGGCTTGTTCTCCAGACCCTTGATCATTTTAGTCGCCCTCCCCTGGATACATTCCTGTGGCTGTTGGTCCTATTGGGCTGTTGTTGTTGTTATGTTTATTTATACCCCACTGTTTCTCTCCACAAGGAGACTCCTGTCATATGGCATGAACCTGATGTTTATCTGCTTGGGTTTCTCTCTCCACAACCCCGCCTCCTTTCAGGAATACCGACCAGGGCTGCTGCCTCCGCACCTTGTACATTGATTTCCGCAAAGACCTGAAATGGAAGTGGATCCACCAGCCCAAAGGTTACAAGGCTAACTTCTGTGCTGGAAGCTGCCGTTATGTATGGAGCACGGACACACAGTACAACATGGTGAGAGTGGGCTACACAACATTCCAGGAAACCAGGAGGCTCCTGCTGCCTCTGCGCTCCAGCGAATCAGAAGGGGGGGGGCGGGATGAAGGAATACAATGCAATCTTGGGTGGATTATGGAGTTTAATGTCCAGGGGCTTAACAAGTCCAGAATCGGCCTCTTGTCCTAGTAATACATTGCCATAGATGCAGGCGAAACGTCAGGAGGGAATGCCTCTAGAACATGGCCATATAGCCTGAAAAAACCTACAACAGCCCATGATTCCGGCCATGAAAGCCTTCAACAATACAGAGTCCCTTTTGTTTGTGAGTCGTTGACTGAGATGGGGAACCATTAGGAGAGTCGTTAATTCTCTAGCCCAGGTGTGTCTCAGATGGGAAAAAGTCAAATACTTTTGTGGCATGGTTTTCAGTAAAAAAAAAAAATTGTTACCTTCTGCTATAAATATATGAAAATAGGGCATAAAACCTTGATTAAATGTACACACTGTCTAACATGGGGAAGGGTCCTTGTTGTTGTATTTCCAAATTGACCAAGACTTAACCCTTATTATCCAGTCTGATGTCCTTGAAGTCGATAGGAACTTTAGAAGGGTCTATCCCAGGAGGAAAGATCCTGCGGCCCCACCAAAGAGGGATCGCTACGTTGGTGAGCAAAGAGAAGCCTAATTTTAAGCAATTTATTTGCCCTAAGTTCCCAAAAAGAATCTCACCAAAGTTGAAAAAAGCGCCACCAAGGTTTATTAGCGATTCAGCTGAAAAGGATGCAAAGCGGCAATCATTTGCCAAGCTAAGCATGAAGTTACACAAATAAACGCCATTTCTATAGAAAATATAGAGATGTGTGGTTCAAATCTCCCGCTCCCCCCTCTCACCCAGCTCAAAGGGGATTGGCTGACACGCAAACAGCTGGGAGGAGGCTTGGCCGTCCCCCGTGCATCAGGGCCAATCACAGGGCTTCCGCGGTGCATCAGAGCCAATCAGGAGGCTCCTGCTGCCTCTGCGCTCCAGAGAATCAGAAGGGAGGGCGGCAGGATGAAGGAATACAATGCAATCTTGAGTGGATTATGGAGTTTAATGTCCAAGGGGCGTAACAAGTCCGGAATCAGCCTGCAAGAAAAGCCAATCTTATTGTCTTGTGAGTGATCTGAGATAAGCATAGATCACTTAATCCGAGTTTTCCTCTTGCAGTCAGATAGGGGCACAAAGGGGGAGACTTTGGTGAATGTCTTCAATGGAAAAGGCTTGAAAGAAAAATGGGTTGGCAATTACTAATTACATTACCAGAGGCAGGGCAACTTTCTTATACATTTTTCTCAAGGAAATGGGAAAGGGGCAAAAAGGTCAGGGCAAGGTCAGATACGCGAAGGGAAACATAGAAATATAGGAAAAATCATATCCAGGCATCCCTCCCTCAGTGTCCATAATTCATATCATTCATAGGAAGGTCCATAAAGGGAAATATGTCCATGAGGGGGAAAGAGAGTCCCTTGTTTGTGAGATGGGGGAGCATCAGGAGCCCAGGTAGAAAAAGTCAAATACTTTTGTGGCATGTCAGATGGAAAAAGTCAAATACTTTTGTGGCATGATTTTCATGCCAGGTTTCAGCGGTGGTCAGGGGAGCTTTTGCACAATTAAAACTTGTGTGCCAGCTGCGCCCGTACCTTGGGAAGTCTGACTTGGCCACAGTGGTCCACGCTTTGGTTACATCCCGTTTAGATTACTGCAACGCTCTCTACGTGGGGTTGCCTATGAAGACTGTCCGGAAGCTGCAATTAGTCCAACGAGCGGCAGCCAGAATTCTAATACGAGCAGGGTACAGGGAGTATACTACTCCTCTGTTGCACCAGCTCCACTGGCTGCCAATTAGCTTCCAAGCACAATTCAAAGTGCTAGTGTTGACCTATAAATCCCTAAATGACTCCGGCCCAGTTTACCTGTCCGAATGGATTCTCCCCTATGAACCATCTAGATTGTTAAGATCGTCTGGAGGGGCCATGCTCTCGGTCCCACCGGCCTCACAGGCGCGTCTGGTGGGGACGAGGGACAGGGCCTTCTCGGTGGTGGCCCCTTGGCTCTGGAACTCTCTCCCACTGGAGATCAGAACTGCCCCTTCCATCTTGACGTTCAGGAAAAGGGTGAAAACTTGGCTATGGAGTTTGGCTTCCAACGAGTGAGTCAATATTCTGTGATATGGATGGTTGACGATGAATGACGAACAACGAATTTACTATGACGACCGACCATTGTAATTATGTGACTGCATTTTGCTATTTTAACGTTTTAGTTTAATATGCTATATGATGTTTTTAATCACTGTTTGTGATATTACTGTTGGAAACTGGCCCGAGTCCCTCAACAGAGATGAGAAGACCGGTATACAAAACTGCTAAATAAATAATAAATAAATTGGCCATCCCCTGTGCGTCAGGGCCAATCACAGGGCTTCCGCGGTGCATCAGAGCCAATCAGGAGGCTCCTGCCACCTCTGCGCTCCAGCAAATCAGAAGGGAGGGAGGCGGGATGAAGGAATACAATGCATTCTTGGGTGGATTATGGAGTTTAATGTCCAGGGGGCTTAACGAGTCCGGAATCAGCCTGCAAGAAAAGCCAATCTTATTGTCTTGTGATTGATCTTCCTCTTGCGGTTGGATTGGGGCACAAAGGGGGAGACTTTGTTATATGATTAAAAAGTCTGCCAAATGATTATCCTCTTGATGGCCCGACTCCAAAGTCAAGAAAGATATAGATATTCCTTTGTTATTTGGAAAAAGTCAAATACTTTTGTGGCATGATTTTCAGTAATAAATTGTTTACCTTCTGCTATAAACATATGAAAATAGGGCATAAAGCCTTGATTAAATGATACACACCAATTTGACCAAGGCTTAACCCTTATTATCCAGCCTGGTGTCCTTGCCCTTAGCAAAACTATAAGTTACTATCTCAAATTGGGTGGGGGGGGGGTCATGTTCGACTTCATCCTTGGCAAAACTATGAGTTACTATCTTTTATTGGGGGGTCATGTTCGATTTCCAAGAGAGTTTTTTGACCCCCTTCTTTGTTCAACCCACTCCCGCAGGTGCTTCCTTTGTACAACAAGCTGAACCCCGAAGCCTCGGCCGCCCCTTGCTGCGTCCCCCATAAGCTGGAGCCCTTGACCATCCTCTACTACGTGGGCCGCTCGCCCAAAGTGCAGCAGCTCAGCAACATGGTGGTGAAGTCCTGCCGTTGTCGCTGAAGAAGGCTCGCCCTGCCGGTTGGGATGAGGAGACCTCCCCACATCTCCGGTTCCACCGTATTTATTCTGGCCAAACCCTCCAGGGTTAAAACTCTGTTGTTTTGTGCTCCCAATCACCAGCAAAAGATGAGTTGTGCTCTCTCTCGTTTTCGCAAACGAGTCTCCTTTGCCCGGATGGGATGCAAGCCGCTGGTGGAGCGGTCTTGGGCGCCATCTAGACTGCCATATAATGTCATTTGAACTCATATAATGCAGTCTGAATTGCATTGAACTAGATTATATGAGTCTACACTGCCATGTAATCCTACTTGCATGACAATGAAGTCTTAATAATAATCCATATAAATAAAAATGTAATGTTCGTTTCTGATATTAACAGAACTCAAAAACCACTGGACAAATTGACACCAAATTTGGACACAAGACACCTCTCAGGCCAACAAGTGACCATCACTCATCAAAATACTGAAAAACACAGCAGAAGAGACTTAGAAAGCCAAAAAACCAAAAAACACATTACAACACACACGCAAAACCACAGATATATACACAAATACACATATATGCATATACACGCACATAACACATACACAGAAAGGAGGAAGGAAGGAGAGGAGGGAAAGAGAGAAGGAAAGAAAGAAGGATAGAGAAGGAAGGAAGGAGAGAAGGAGGGAGAGGAAGAAGGGAAAGGAGGGAAAGAAGAAAAGAAAGAAAGGTAGAGAAGGAAGGAAGGTGAGAAAGAGGGAGAGAAGAAGGGAGGGAGAGAAGGAAGGGGAAAAGAAGGGTAGAGAAGGAAGGAGGGGGAGAAAGAGGGAAGGAGAGGAGGAAGGAAAGAAAGAAGGGTAGAGAAGGAACGAGAAAAGGAGGGAAAGAAGGAGGGAAGGAGATAAAGAAGTAGAGAAGGAAGGAGAGAAGGAGGGAGAGAAAGAGGGAAAGAAGAAGGGAAGGAGAGAAAGAAGGAAAGAAAGAAGGGTAGAGAAGGAAGGAAGGAGAGAAGGAGGGAGAGAAAGAGGGAAGGAGAGAAGGAAGGAAGGAGAGAAGGAAGAGAAAGAGGGAAAGAAGAAGGGAAAGGAGGAGGGAAGGAAAGAAAGAAGAAAGAAGGGTAGACAAGGAAGGGAGGAGAGAAGGAGGGAGAGAATGAAATAAAAAAGTGAAAGAGGGAAGGAAGGAGAGAAGGAATGAAAGAGAGAAAGAGGGAGGGAAGGAAGGAAAGAGACAAGGAAGGATGGAACCAAAGAGCAAAAGAAACGAGAAAAGAAACAGGTAGAGAAGGAAAAAAGAAGAAGGGAAAGAAAATGAGGGATGGAAGGAAAGAGGGAGGGAAGGAAGGAAGGAGAGAAAGAAAGAAAGAAGAAGAGAAAGAGGGAGGGAAGGTTGGCCACAGCAACGCGTGGCGGGTACAGCTAGTCTATATAAATAAAAATGTAATGTTGGTTTGTGGGATTAACAGAACTCAAAAACCACTGGGCGAATTGACACCAAATTTGGACACAAGACATCTAACAACCCAATGTATGTCCTCCACTCAAAAAATTGATTTTGTTATTTGGGAGATGTAGTTGCTGGGATTTATAGTTCACCCACAATCAAAGAGCATTCTGAACTCTACCAACGATGGAATTGAACCAAACTTGGCTCACAGAACTCCTATGACCAACAGAATACACTGTGCTTTCTGATGGCCTTTGGCGACCCCTCTGACACCCCCTTGTGACCCCCCCCAGGGGTCCCAACCCCCAGTTGAGAAACACTGTTCTAGAAGCATTCTCTCCTGACTTCTGGAACATAGCCCTACAGCCCAGAAAACTCACAGCAACTCAATGACTCCAGCCATGAAAGTCTTCGACAACACTCTCATGTTTGCTATTTTTTTAGTGTGTGGTCCTAGGACATCGGTTTATCTCAGGTGAGTTGACCAGGAGTCGGTTCAGCCTGAAATCTCTTCCATTATTCAGGGGGAAATCCTGGCATGCATGCGTGTGCCGCATACACATGTGTACACAGAGGCCCTCCAAAACGGAGGGCCTGTTGAAGGCTTGGCGCGCAGGCAGCAAGTGCAAACAGCGGGCAGAGCGGCACGCAGGGCAGCAGGTTGTCGGACAAAGGGCCCCTTCATTGGGAAGAGGGAATACAGAGCAGCAGGAGAAACAGGACTTTGTGTTTGAGGGTGGGGGCGAGATAGGAAGGAAGGCAGACAGAAGGGAGCAGGAGGGGGCTCAGCTTGGCTGCAGGTAAATATTTGAGCATGGCGCTTTGTGGTTTGCGCACACGCAAATAGGACGCCGACAGGGATGCGGAGCCCGACCTCAAATTCTTCTGAATGATGGAAAGGACTTGTATTCAGAGTCCCAGAGAAACCAGATATAATTCAATAAACAGACATATATATTTACCCCTCCTGTTTCTAGTTCTTCAGGTTACAGGGGTTGGGGTGGGATGGGGAATACTTTGGGGGTCTTGGCTGTACTCATATGGTTCCTCTTGCAGTGAGCTGGAGGTGAAGGTGGTCCATGGCATCTTCCATTTGGATGGTGAGCGGGTGGTGCACTCCGAGCTTTTTTTGGTAGTCTGAAAGAGAGACCGAGAAGCTTCATATAGTTTATACATCACATCACGACCATCTGCTTTGAGTTGGATTATATGGCAGTATGGACTCAAGCCCCTTCCACACAGCTGCATAAAATTCACACTGAACTGGATTATGTGGCAGTGCAGATTGAGCCTCAGACTGCTGTATAATCTAGATTATCTAAATTATAATATATTATAATTATAATATAATATAATTATAATATAATATAATTATAATATAATATGGATAATCTGGATTATACAGCAGAGCAAATTCAGTCTGAGGCTCAATCTACACTGCCGTATAAAATCCAGATTATCTGCTTTGAAGTGGATTATATGGTAGTGTGGACTCATATAATCCAGTCCAAGGCAGAGAATATGGATAATCTGGATTATACAGCAGTGCAGATGTAGCCTGGGACTCAATCTACACTGCCATATAAAATCCAGATTATCTGCTTTGAACTGGATTATATGACAGTGTGGATTCATATAATCCAGTTCAAAGCAGAGAATATGGATAATCTTGATTATACAGCAGTGCAGATGCAGCCTGGGACAATCTACACTGCCATATAAAATCCATATATAATCCAGTTCAAAGCAGATTATTTAGATAATCTGGATTATACAGCAGTCTGAGGCCCAATCTACACTGCTATATAAAATACAGATTATCTGTTTTGAACTCGATAATATGGCAGTGTGGATTCATATAATCCAGTTCAAAGCAGATAATTTAGATAATCTGGATTATACAGCAGTCTGAGGCCCAATCTACACTGCTATATAAAATCCAGATTATCTGCTTTAAACTGGATTATATGGTAGTGTGGACTCATATAATCCAGTTCAAAGCAGACAATATGGATAATCTCGATTATACAACAGTGCAAATGCAGTTTGAGGCTCAAACTAAACTGCCCTATAAAATCCAGATTATCTGCTTTGAACTGGATTATATGCCAGTGTAGACTCAAGCCCCTTCCACACAGCTGCATAAAGTCCACATTGAACTGGGTTATATGGCTGTGTGGACTCAGATAATTCAGTTCAAAGCAGATAATCTGGATTATACAGCAGTGCAGATCCAGTTGGACACTCAATCTACACTGCCATATAAAATCCAGTTTGTCTGCTTTGAACTGGATTATATGGCAGTGTAGACCCAGGTCCCTTCCACATAGCTGCATAAAATCCACACTGAACTGGATAATCCAGTTCAAATGAGATAATCTGGATTTTTATATAGCAGTGTAGAATGGACCTTTGAATAAATTCAAAGCAGATAATGTGAATTTATTCAAAATGTGAATTATCTGCTTTTGAATTTATTCAAAATGTGAATTAATGATTAAGAATTAAGATGGATCGATGGCATCCTTGAAGTGACTGGACTGACCTTGAAGGAGCTGGGGGTGGTGACTGCCGACAGGGAGCTCTGGCGTGGGCTGGTCCATGAGGTCACGAAGAGTCGGAGACGATTGAATGAATGAACAACAACAATACCAAGAGAAATCATTTCTGGAGATAAGACAAGAACGGCTTTTTATTTATCCAGCTGGGACCCTGGTGAGGAGTTCTCTCCCAAAGCACCAGAGCCCCGATCAAGGGGCTGACTGCCTTTTATAGTTTTCACAATCAAGCAAACAAAGAAACATGCTACTACATACAACATCGTCATTCCTACGTCATCTTAGCATCATATTCTATCTCCTAATATGCAAGAAGGCATGTCTGTGTCTTGCTGAAGAGCAAGCATGGCTTACATTCATCAGTCAAGAGGCCCACTTTGAGATGTCAGGAGGAAGGGGGGATTGGCTCCTTCCTTAGATGGAAGACACTGGGCCTTTCGTACCAGCCTCTGTGGCTTATCTCCTGGAACGTAGAGATAACATGCCCCCCCCCTTCTCCTCCCTCCTGCCATGCTTTGGATGTAGCCTGCTAGTCTTGTCAGCTTGGGTTTCTTTCTATACACAGAGCCTGATTTTTCTATACATTTCAGTAATTGAAAAATATATACAATTTATGCATAAATCAATAAATATCTATATTTTTCCAATATCTCCTCATCATTATCTGCTTTGATAATCTGGATAATACGGCAGTGTAGATCCATCCTGAGGTCCCATCTACACTGCCATATAAAGTGGGGACTATATGTTACTGGCAGTTTGCAATGTACAATTGCAGCAGATAAATCTCATTATCTGAATGAACCCTGTCCTAACCAGCATGGCCTCATTTGGGGCCAAGAAATGTGAGCCAACGAATTGCCCCCTCTTCGATATACCCAACTCACCTAGTAAAACAGCCTTTAAGATGGTGTACACCTCTTCTTCCATCAACGACTGTAGAGGTAGAGGAACCTGAAATAAAATGGAAAATGTCCAAAGCCCTCCCTCACCGAATTGGGCTAAACTTTCCATAAATGCCTTGAAGGGACTCACTGGCACGAGCCTCCCTCCAGCCTTGCACGCTCTCCCTCACCAAATTCGGCTAAACTTTCCATACATGCCTCGAAGGGACTCACTGGCATGAGCCTCCCTCCAGCCTCACATGCTCTCCCTCACCGAATTGGGCCAAACTTTCCATACATGCCTTGAAGGGACTCGCTGGCATGAGCCTCCCTCCAGCCTCGGAGGCTCTCCCTCACCAAATTCGGCTAAACTTTCCATACATGCCTCGAAAGGACTCACTGGCATGAGCCTCCCTCCAGCCTCACATGCTCTCCCTCACCGAATTGGGCCAAACTTTCCATACATGCCTTGAATGAAC